TCCCCCACCACTCTTTCTCCACCCACACTCTTCTAGCCCCTTACACTCTCTCTCCCGGTATAGTGCCTGCTTCCTGCACTTTCTTATCCCTCACTCCCTTCTCACCCTCCTGCACTCTCCCCCCCGTACTTTCTCCCTCCTTCAGTCTCCCCCACCCTACTCTCTCTTTGTTAAACTCTCCTCCCCTGCATGTGCTTTGACCGTTGCACCCTCCCTCCCATCCCCTACCTCTCTCTCCATCCACTCTCTCCCCCCCTTCCCTTTATTCTCCTGTGACCTGATCGTCACTTGCTCATTCTGCTACCATCTGCCAGTCCCCACCTCTCTCCTACCCCCCCCCCCCCCCCCCCCCCCTTTCACTCTGCCCACCCTCGCTCCCCCTTTGATTTCAAATTTCCCCCTTGGGGTAAGCAAGCTCCTGTTGTTCTTCTCTCTCCTCTTCCCTTCCCATTTTTATCTGGTCGCTTTATGCACACCATGGGGAGTGTTATACGTTTACTGTGGGTCTTTGATAAACTTTCATTTTGCCCTTTATTTTTTGAAATATTTGTTTTATAAACTTTCACTCAGCTCGCAGGTGAGGATTTAGAATGTTGTCATGTCTCTCTGCTGTTTTGAGCTCTTGTCACTTTTTTTTTTTTTTTTTTTTTTTCTCCTTTTTTTTTTTTTTTTTTTTTTTTTTTTTTTTTTTTTTTTTTTTTTTTTTTTTTTTCTCCCCATTCTTATTGGCAATGCTTGTTCGTTCTGCTCTGCTGTTTTCTTCTCTCCTCTTCTCTTCTCTTCTCTTCTCTTCTCTTCTCTTCTCTTCTCTTCTCTTCTCGTCTCGTCTCTTTTCTTCTCCTCTTCTCCTCTCTTCTCCTCTCGTCTTGTCTTGTCTTGTCTTCTCTTTTCTTGCCTTGCCTTGCCTTGCCTTGCCTTGCCTTGCCTTGCCTTGCCTTGCCTTGCCTTGCCTTGCCTTGTTCACTTCTCTTATGTTCTCTTATGTTCTCTTACCTTCTCTATTCTTCTCTTATCTTATTTTATCTTATCTTATCTTATCTTCTCTTATCTTCTCTTATGTTGTCTTTTTGTTATCTTATCATGTCTGATGGTTGTGGACTAAATGTGGTTTTGGCAATTACACTAATTTGTTAAATCACTCTGCCTAACTCTCTGTCAAGCGTCCAAACTGTTCAATCCTGTTGTCCAAAATGCTCATCATATCTCCCAATCTATATCTGGTATGTCCAAAATGCTCACCACTTCTCCCAACCTTTATCGGCTGTCCAAATCGGTTCTGATAATGTACTAAGTTGGAAAATCGAACTGACCAATTCGGTTTGATGGCTGTCCAATTGAATTTTTCGTTTGTCCAAATCGCTTCACCTTGATTCTAAATTACCTGGTCAAAGGAGTAATAATGTCTGGTTCTCTTATCTGTCTTTTGTTTTCTCTCTCTCTCTCTCTCTCTCTCTCTCTCTCTCTCTCTCTCTCTCT